TAACCAGGATCAGTATCCAGCGCCTCGTTGATCAGGTTCAGCATTCAGAGTGAGTTGGTGAGCCTCTTTGCTTTTCGGATGGCTAATTTTTCTCATTTTCTTTCTAGTTTTCAGTTGTTAGGATGATCGGGGGTCCTGTCGCGACATCCCTCTCTGTTTTAGAGGCTTCATAGACAGTTAGTAGTTCAGTTGTCTTTACATTTTCATTTCATATGTTAAAACTTGAGTTGCCATTTTGGCCAAGTTAAATGTTTGAATTTTTAAGCATTCTCAGTATTTTATTATTCAAGTGAATATAGTGCTATTGATCATTATAAAAATGTATAGAGTCTTCCCCTGAGTTAGTAAGCCAGGCCAAGGGTTCGCTTGGGGCCAGCAATGGTTCTCGAGTGCCAGCCACGTCCGGGGTATAGGCTCGGGGAGTGACATTAAACTTGTCTTCATACAAAAAAAGAGGGGCATTGAAAATGAAAGTCTTAAAAAGAAAATCTTGAATCTCAAATTAGATCTAAATTAATCTCCCTTTGTTTCCTTTTCTTTTCCTTCCTTTGTAAGCCTTTTGTATTTGAAAATTTTACTCTTTAATGATGGTATTTGGTGAAACTAAAATGGCAATTTAAAAAATGAAAAAAAAAAAAGAACTTGATCTACTAATGGGGTGGGGGTGACTGAAAATGAGAGTTGAGGCAAAGATGGGGTGGGGGATAGTTGAAGCCTGAAAGAGAGGGGTGGGGATGACTGAAAAGGGGGTTAGGGCAGATATGGGGGGTGAGGGATGACTGAAAAGGGGGATTGGGGTGGCGGGTGGGCTGAAAAGCAAGGTTGGAGGGGGGGATAGGGGTAGGGATGGGGGATGACTGAAGAAGGTGAGGTGAGGTGAGGGGAAGAGGAAGACTTTTTATGAAAAAAAATATTATTTTATATTTTTAAAATTTAAATATGTTCTTCACTTGCCTTTACATGTTTGTGGTTACACTCTCTCGCCAAGTCATTCATTTTAATGTCACATAAGAATGGGCAATGGTCAGAAGGGTTTGATATATTGTGTTTTAATGATTTTAAGGGTTCAATTGATAAATGATTAAGTAGAATGGTCTATAATACCAACGCATACAAGTATAGGGGTCCATCAGATCATTTCGCCAAAGTAAAATAACTACAAACATATATCCCTTTATATTCATACCCCCACTAAATAATTACATTATATACCCCCACAACTAATTTCACTTAACTGATACTAAATTAGTATCACATATTGTATTGGTATCATTAAGGCTGATAATTTCGCTTAACTGGTACTAAATCAGTGTCATATACTTTTTGGTATATAATTTCAATATCTACAATATCATTAGAATATATCTATATATATATATATATATATATATACACACACACACTTTGGTGGTATCAAAGAATAGCTCTGTGAAAGCAGTACTAATTTACTCTTTCATATCATTAGTGTGTATATATGCCCTAATGGTATCAAGTATTGAGTTCAAAATGTATTATAATTGTTATTTATTAAACAATATTAAAAAGATATTATACCTAAATTTTAAATATTCAAAAATTATTCAAATTAATTTATGTGTTATTATATAAACTATAGTTGTAATACAATCTGAAGAAAGGAGGGAGAGAGAGATGGACACACCAAAAAAGAAAGAAAGTAGGAGACTATTAAATATGTATTTACCTATTTCTGATAACAAGAATAGATTGAGAGACTATTATATATGTATTTATTTATTTTTAGTAAAAAGAATAGGACTAATTTATGTAAGAGTAAAAGATGTACTATAAGTCTATAACTCATAAATAATAATATATAATATATTATCTATGTAGATTCATCATTTTTATATTTGAAAAATGTAAAATCATATCTTCTTGAAAAAGGTTTTTGAGAATTTGAAATTCTATCAAAATAACATATATAAATATTAATTTCATTTCATAATTTCAAATTACAGTAGCTAAATTAATAATGGGACTTCCAAATAGATCCAAAGTGAAATTTAATGACGAAAATACCCAACATCACACTTACACCCACTAGGGATCTCCGGCCATTATTGCCGTCAGAATCCACCGTCGGCCACCAGGTAATGCTCTCTGCTATCTCTCCGACTCTATTTCTCTTTGCGATCTCACCCAGGTATAATTTGGAAAGTTGTAAGATATGTTCCATGAAACTGAAATTCGAATTTTTCTTCTTATTTGGGGATTCTCTGAATACATTGTGGAATGGTATGAACTATAAGTCCATCAAATAATTGGGAGGCTATGCTCATATTTTTAGCTGATTTTGACAATTATGAAGTAACAAGGTGAATTCTGGTAGTTTATTTTCCCTATCTATGAGCAAATTCCATCATTTTTTTTTCTTTTCTTCCATTTATATGGGTTTCCATAAGCTTTTCCGTTCTTTTTTTAACCTTCATATATTCAATTATCCATTTTATTGCATTAAATTCAATGTTTTAGTTGCAACTCAAGGGTGTGTCTTAGTGGTCAAAGTTGGGGGAGCATGATGAGGGCTCCGATTCAAATCCTAGTTAAAGCAAAAAAAAAAATACTAGGTGATTTTTTTTCCCATCTGGCCAAGTCTTGATGGGTACACCTGAACTGGTGGGAGGTAGTGAGTAGCCAGTGAAATAGTCGAGGTGCGGGCAAAATGGCCTGGGCACTACCATCATAATTTTTTTATAGCATTTAGTTCAAAAAATAGTTAAGTAACGGTAGTTTCTTTAGCTTTTATAGAATTTGTACTTTTGGTGTAATAGCAATATGTTTTCTGGAGTTAATAGAGAGAAAAGAGTAGCAGATTGTCTGGTCGGGTCTTGTTTCAGTAATACTTCACCTAACAAAAAAAATTGCTTTAGCTTTTTCCCCCCATTTATTTGGGTTTTCCATCAACCTATTTTGGTTATTAATCTGGACTTCTTTCTTTTTTTGGGTTTTTTTTTTGTACTTTCTTGTGTTTAGACGGATATACTTAAATGGAAGCAGTTTCCACCATTTCTTGTTCTTTTTCATTTTGTGGAGCCTCTATGATCATCAATATTCTCTTTAGATTTATTTCTGTTGATTTTGGGATATGAATTTCCTTTGTGGATTTTTTTCTTTTGAATTGGTCAGATCTATGCATACTGGTTATATTTGGTTTCTTAAAGCTTTGGAACTTAACTATGAAGTTTCTTTTGGTTTTGTTGGGTGTTATTATGGAAATATTTACATGCCTCCCATTCTACATCTCATTGATTCAACAAAACTGGGGGGTGCTTTTGGTTTTATTCTCAAAAAAAATTGTTAGGCCTGAAAGATCTTTCACTTTTCTACTAGTACAAGGTACAATTGTTTGCAACTTCCTTTTACACAGGGAGGAAAGGAAAGATGATTGTTACATTTTCACCAATGGTATCAATAACAATACAATGGAGCCAAGACAAAGGCGAGAACAGTGGGAGGTGACACAAAACACTTCCTTGATAGAGTTGCACTAGGAATCGATTCTTTAACCCGGTCCTATTTGTCTTGGTGATGGATTAATTGGTGCGGCATATTCAAGGTGAAGTGCCTTGGTGTATGTTATTCACCGATGACATTATACTAATTGACGAGACTTGCGATGGAGTTAATGCTACGGAGGTTTGAAGACAAATCCTAGAGGCCAAAGGGTTTAGGCTAAGCAAGACCAAGACTAATTACTTGGAGTGCAAGTTCAGTGATGCAACACAAAATGTTGGCATAGAAGTGAGGCTTGATACTTAGGTCATCCCCAAGAGAGGATGTTTCAAGAATCTTGGTTCTTTAATTCAAGTTTTGGGGAGATTGACGATAAATCACAAATCGTATTAGGCGGGATGAGTGAAACGGAGGCTCACCTCTGGACATTAATATTCCATTGGAAGAAGTAGTTAAAAAGATCATTAAGAAAAAACACTAATCTCGTAGTTTATTTCCCTTCAATTCTGATAATACCTGTTGTTTTTTGCTTTTGTTATCACATTATTTTAAAGTTGCAACTATTTCTTTTTTAAAATGTTAATTGATGATTTTGTTATCATTTGTTATGATTGTTTTGCATCTTTATGTCATTTTTATCATGTCTTTGTTATGAGTTACTTGAGCCAATGGTCTTGTGGAAACAACCTCTCTACCTCCATGAGTTAGGGTAAAGTATTCTTACACCTACCCTATCCATACCCCACCTAGTACAAAGTGAACTTGACAGTAAAAATTTATAGTATTTAATATTGATAATTTTGTCAATGAGTTTAGTTTTCTTGTGAATAACTGCAGTGTTATGTATCTTGTGACTATAATAGTATTGTTTCTCCATATATTCTCTTCTTTTGGTAATGATACAATGTGTAATGAGGTAAAATTATGAATTTTTCTTTTCATTTACTGTGTTGCTTTGGTAGTTCAGAGTTTCTCTCAAATTTGCAAGTAAATAAGAATGATAAAGAGAAAAGAATTAGGAATGTATTTTCAGCTTTAAATCCTTTTTTTCTAGATTAAGAAGAAACTACTATCATTAGTTTTATTTTTGGTATTTTTCACAAAAATATGTAACACATGTTAAATGTATGCATAATCTTAGTTTTATATAAAAACAACATACAAGAATTTTTTTTTCTAATCAATTAATTAACCTGCAAGGTCATTGGAGAGTGTTATTATTATATATATTCTTTCCTCATGACGTTAGACTTCTTCACTTATTGTCAACTAGTTATATACTTGCGAAAATTGCTCAGAATCTAGCATATTCATGATAGTGTTTTAAAATGTTGAGACTAGTTCTTTTTTCCCTTTAGTTTTTCTTTGAAAAGCATCTGAAGTACAACAATATCAAGTGTTGAGACTATTATTTTCATAGTAATTGATCTTTCAATTTAAATTTTTGTTATTTGTTAGTGCGAATCTCAATTGTATAACAAAAATTTGGTCATCTAATCATAGGGTTGATTAGAAGAACTGCTGGAATGGATTTTTCATCCAAAGAAAATGATGTAGAAGAGTTTTTACCACTTGGAGTGTTTGAGATTCTGGGAGACATGATTGTTGTTATTAATGAGTTGCCTCCCATTTCTTCAAATATCAACACCTTTTTACCATGCCCAATAGTTACTGATGCAGCACATAAGAATGATGGTTTTGGCCAATTGTTTGAAGGAAGAGAAGTTCGCAAGTTATTTGAATACAAGTATTACAATGGAAAAGTTACTAAATATGACGAGAAAACTGGTTGGTTCAGGGTGAAGTACAAAGATGTCGACAACGAAGATCTTAAGTCGCATGAGTTGAAAGAAGTTCTTCAGCCATTGAACATTAATATTCCATTGAAAGAAGTAAACACAGAGATCATTTATGTAGAACTCCAAGCATGTCAAAATGACAAAGGTAAGGTTAAACAAATATCGTATTTATGTAGAACTCCGAGCATGTCAAACATTACATGGAGTACTTTTAGCTTTTATGGATATAATAGCACATTATCCAGTGTCATGTGCAAGCCATGAGAATTCTGAAACATCTTGTGGTGATGTGGTATGGTTGATGTGAAGCCAAAAATATATATTTTTAATTATTATTTGCCTCACATTTGTTATTTATATTTGTCCTTTTGAGCATAAATTTTATGGATTGTGCTAAATAGTATATTTTATTTGTAGGATTAAATTGGTGGAAAAACGAAGAAGTTTGGAGCTAAAACGAATTAAAAATGAAATATTGAAAAAGGAAATCAAACAGACAGCTTAATGGTTTAAATTTATTAAAATAATATATTCCTCTATGTGGTGCAGAGTTGAATGCCAATTCAATTTGAATTAGGCTTGCTGCTACCACGTGTCAGCTGACCGGCGCCCCTCTGCCGCCAACAATTTGGAGAAATCACGTGTACAGTGCAAACCCAATTTAATTGGGTTTTATTTTTCTAATTTGTCTTTAACTCAATTATTTTATTTAGGGTTTCTCTATCTATAAATAGGGGATAAAAAATTATTGTTTGGGAAGCCAAGAACTAACAAACAATACACAATATAAATTTTCTTCTAGCTTAGGAACTTTGGAAGAGCCGTCGTGGAGGCCGGAGAATTGTGGTTTATTCTTTCTTCTCCTTTATTATTTATTTGTATTTGTGATTAATAAAAGATAGTTTAGCTATTGTTCTTAATTTTTTATGATTAACACAAGCATATTTATTTTAATAAATTTTGATTGTGCTTTTGAGATCATGAGTAGCTAAATTTCATAACTAGAGTTGTGGGAACCATGATGAATTATTAAAGTAAGTTTATGTACGAAGTGATTCTTGAATGATTTTTATGCATTTATTGTTAATTCTTTCATTTAGAAGTCTTTTTAACGGTGCGCAACGTTAGAACTCGCCTCGTTGCTACTTGCCGGACCAAGGAGGTAGTTAATGAGAAAAGAATTAAACAATAGAGATTTAGTGGATGCTATCTAATAGTCTAATGTCAATTGGTGGAAGGTGAAAACTAAGTCATGCATCGATGTGATGTCTATTCTGAGGTAAAAGTAAGGGCTAGTAAAGTATACACCCGTAGCCAGACCAAGGTGCAGGGTGAAATTCCCTCTTTGGAGGACCAATCACTTAGGGATACTTAACTTACTAACCTTGCATGCTAAAATTGAAATAGATCACTAGTGCGATATTCTTGCTATTTTATGAAATCATGGGGAACACATTCCTAGTTATTTCTAATAATTTGAATATAAATAAATACTTAGTTCAAATCTATTTTTATTCTTTTTTTTTGTTTCAATTTAAACCCCCCCCCCCTTTTTTACATAACGACTATCGAGTTAAATATTTGCTATTGACAATATTCTTCCATATTTTCTGTGGGATCGACCCCAACCCATAGTTGGGTAAATATTGCATACGATCGTTTATATTTCTTTCCAAGAAGTATATTTGGACGTTACCAAGAATGGCGCCGCTGCCGGGGAATGTGGCATAGAAATTGTCTTTAGTATTTATTTTGACTTGTAGTCCATTTTTGTTTCTTAGGATTAGTTTTAAATTAGTTTTTTTTATTATTATCATATTTTTTTTACTCTTCTTGAGATGGCATCTGAAAAAGTTTGTAGTGATAAGTGTTCTTGCAATTCTTGTACTTCTGATATTATGGATTCTTATAGGATAATTTTTTTCTCAACAAGATAAGTTGTATGGGGACATGGAAGATTTGTGAATACTTTGCTATAAATCAATATGTAAGCGCATGCTTGAAGATATCTTTGATTTTGATCTCTATTAATTAGATTGTGAGTTGAGTGCAAAGATTAAATCATATAACACCCAACAATTTAGTAATAATATGTGTGAGGAAGAAATGATAATTATAAGTCAACTTGTATAGCTAAAAGTTGAGTGGCCAATTGCTTGATCATACTTTTATTGATGTTGTCATTGTTGAGAAGAGTACACTAGAGTTATGTAATGAAGTAGATAATATTATTTTTTAAAACTCTAGTATGTGTAAATATGAGGGTGTAAATAATAATATAATTCGTAAGTTAGGGTGCACTAGACCTCATTCCAATCATTTTTCCACAGTATGTTTAGATGATGAAATATTAATCGAGTCATTTGAGCCTAGAGTGTATGGGGGAGGAACAATGTGTCTATATTATTGAATTTATTGTTCCAATATCGGAGAATTACATTCCTCACTTAGGATTCAAGAAGTGCATAATGCGATATCTATTGCTTCGGACCTTTATTTTTGTACCACCACCCCTTGAGCGTAATAGAAAAATTGATGTAAAATTAGGGATGCAATTCATATCTTCAAAGTGGAAGGAAAAATAGTAAAATTGATGGTTTCGTGCCGCAACGTTAAATTAAGCGCTTATTGGGAGGCAACTCAATTAGTAGTGTAAATTCTTAATTTATTTTATTTTTATTTTATTATTATCACTTTTTTTTCCTTTGGTCTTGTTATTGCAGATTAGGGAAGTCTGAGTACCCAAAAAAATTTGAAGCAAATGAGAATATTTGAGCTTAAGTGTGGGGTGACGACCCTTGATGAAAATTAAAAGAACATGCTACTAGCTAGGCCTAAAGGCCTTAGGGAGTTTTCCTAACCCTTGTTTTAAATTTTATTTAATGCTTTGGGGACATAGCATCTTTTTAAGTGTGGAGTGGAGGAATGAATTCCTAGTTTTTACTATTTTATTGAGTCTTTTTTTTTTTTTTTAGGATGGGTTCCTTGGCTTTTGTTTTCGGTTCTTTTCCTGAGGATAGTCCCTTTGAACCGAGTGTCTTTTATTTTTTACGAATAAGTATTTTTTTGATTATTTTTTTTATAGAAAAGAAAAGACCCTCTTGAGTGGTGTGATACTTGCTATTTAGGCCTAAATTTTTAGTAGTACTTTCTTGTGAATGCTTGATTGATAAGGAAATTGCAGACTCTTTGACACCTAAGCTCATAGTTGTGACTTTGTAAATAGCTTATATTATTTTGTAGTTTGTTATAATCATGTCTCTCTTAGAAGTGGAATTGATCCATCTTGATTGATATTTGTGCCATGTGTGGAGAGAATTTGTTTATTCCATGTTTTGCATCTTAGTCTAGAACTTGCCCTACATGTTATTGAAGCGAAATAAAAAGTGTTGCCTTGTTTAGGATATGATAATATGCTTTCTTTGATTTGTCTTGTAAATTTTAGTCTTTTCAGATATTATATCACTAGTAAAGCCTCATTGAGCCTGTCAGCCTTGAATTTTCTTTAAACTGCATGATTGGGCCGAATCCTTTTCTATTGATATCATAAGTATTCGATCCTAATGTAATCCTTAATGCACTATGTTGAGAAAAAAAGTTGAAAACATTGGTAGAAGTGGAAAAAGGGTGAAAATGCTTGGTGTGTGAAGAATGAAGAAAAGTGTGAAAACTCTGTCTTGGCCCTGGTCCCTTGTGGATATTGTGCACCTCAACTACGCTTAAAAATTTAAGTTGAGGGTGGCTAATTTAGAAGTATACTTAAAACATTGGCCATAGTCCTACCAAGAATATTGTGTACCTCACTTGAGCCTCAAAGTCTTGAGTTGAGGGTGACTAGTGCAAAACCTCTCAAAAAAATTTAAAAAAAAGATTGAAGCATTCTTGTGATGATGAGCATTACTTGTGAAATAATTGTTGAAGAGAGGGCTGAAAATAAAGAGAAGAAAATAATGGGTGATAAAGTGTTAAAGTGCAAAGTGCTTAAGGAAGTGTAAGTCACTATTATATAATTTTTCCTACCCGTCCCTTAGCCTACATTACAATCCGTTAAAGTCATATTTGATTCTATTCAAGCATGCTTAATTAGTGGAGATGTACATAATGGGCAAGCCTATGATTCTTTGTGCATACATGTGAATTTTATTTGTGAGTATGAGAGTTGTTCTTGATGCTAAGTCCTTAATTTATATTCAATCTTTTGAATTGAGTATGTGGACTATTTCTTCATGTTAGGGCACTTGTTTCATGATAGATAGGTGATGTTATTAACTTTCTTTGATGAGTGTAGGGGAGCAAGAAAATCTCAAAAAACTCAGACTTCTTTTTATTAGATACAACCAGGTGTATCTAGTATTATCATCCATAAACAATACATAGTACTTCATGTGTTGAGAAGATTCAATAGGGGCTGGACCCCAAAGATCACAATGAATTTTTAATAATGGTTCCTTCTCAATTTTATTTCTCAATGCAAAAGGAAGCTTACAACTTTTCCCTAGCTGGCAGCTAGTACAAATGGTAGGTGATTTAACGTTTCAAGCACACCTCATCCAATTCTAAGTGTCAACGATCGTAAATCAGTATAAAGCCCAACTAAATGAGTTGGGGTCGAATCCCACAAGGAGTGGTACGTGTTTCAGATTTGATTAAGAAGTATAAATGTGGTCAAATCAGCCATAGGAATAAACATTATCGAATAAAGACATCATTCAGATTAAAGGGTGACATATAAGGGGGGCGGGGGGGGGGGGGGGGGGGGGTTGGTTTTTAGTTATCAACTACAAACAGTCACAACCGCTAAGAATTAACAATAAGGAGACGAGTTCTTGAGATGTGATCGATTATAGGCAAATATAGACATATGGGTAATTATAACTATTAGTAAATAGCTAGATATTAGTGAGTAGCCTAGACTATAATGGAGATAATTTTCTCTCGAACAATTACCCCGAATCAGGTGATTTCTTTCAAACATCAACAAGCAATACAATTATGAGCTGCCCACACCTTAATCCATTCACTCTCTCGAGTAGAATGTATGGGATTGGGTTTAGGATTCACTCTCTCGAGCTAAACCCAGCCAACCCAATACCGACAAACCATAAATTAATAATCTTAGTTCTGAAACCTCTCTCTCGAGCAACCCAAGAACACAAACATAGAACTGCATTTGCAACTACAATTCTTAAATTAAACAACAATTAATGATTAAACTCACTTTTAAACAACATTTAAACTAATAATTAGCAATACCCATAAACTAAATCGGCCCATAATCACATGATCACACCCCAAGAATTGGGGTTT